TCAAAGTACTTGAAAAAAGTACACTTTCCGAAAAAGATTTTATTCCTGTATTTCTGTATGTAATTCATACTTTTTTCTTGAAATATCCGGAAACAAATCCAACTTTCGCAGCTTCTTCCATTATCTCTGTCTCTGGCGGTGTATTTATCCAAAATCGTCACATCTCGGTATATACATCATATTATTTATTATGAATTGTTGGATAATATTTGATGGAAACTGCGATTTCTATCAAAAGCACAATTGAGAACTACTCTAAAGAATTTAAAAAACTTCTTCTGACAGTTGTGACAACTATTCAGAGCTGAACAGCAGCTAATTAAGTTTTGGTCGATTTTTGTTGATTCTCTATGGAAATGTATGTGGTGTTGGCAAAGTGCCGTGAGAAAAAATATTACTCACAGTATGAGCAATACGTGGTTTTGAAACTAAGTAAGCTATGAGAAATGCGCTACTTTTTATAGCAGTAGTAGAAAAAATTGTTTTTTCTACGGCTATAACACAAAATGCTCTTGTTTTACTGTGTTCGATACGTCAATGTATGTCATCAATATTATTTCCGAATCTGATATCACAATGACTCCATTGTGTTATTATTTCCAAACAATCTCATTGCTCATGGAATGTCAAATGTGAAGCAATGACAGCTCTGTCTAATAAATGAGTATTACTTGACAGGAAATCAAATGGCTACAAGACGAAGAAATCGAAAACGCCGCTGTGTTATCTATTATAGCCGTAGAAAAATTATAGTGTATAACTTGCACGGAATGCTAATTTCCTACTCGAATGATTACAGCATTCGCCTATGGCTCATGCTGCAAACTCCATTCTCGTGGGAAATCACTATCATTCCGTGCTCGTTAAACAATAATATACTATTTTCCACCACTAGCTATAGAACCTACTCCTTTTCAAGGCGTGAAGGGTGTTTGTTCCGTCAAGGTAGTTTTTATCACTTTCTGAACTACATACTAGTCAATAAAGATATATTATTACTGCGGGCGGTAAAGTGCACTTTACGGCATGTGTATCATAATGGGCCCAAATCCTATCTAAAATTGAAATTAAACATTATTATAATCATTGGCTTGTTTCCAATGGTGAACAAAATTATAGTGAGCTGTGCCTCGAGGTTTCTTTTGTTTTATGCCAATATTGCAAACATTAAACCGGACGCATCAAGTATTCCAACTATAGGTTTTCTACGTTGCTTTTCCGAAAACAGATAACTGCAAAGGAAACAATCGCAATAATGAGACTTCATGATATCCGTTCTGAACATTTCATAATAATTAATATGCATATAGCAGAAATAAGTTACCTTATCTCTGTATATAGGTATGGTACGATTATTATTAAAATCCAACTCTTCATTATCATTTGCAAGACCATCACAATAATGATGTTGTTTTCACTGAATTCATTGTAGTTAGGTATTGGTCCTCTTATTTTATAATTCATGTTATAAATAGTTAGAGGAATAGTTAGATGTTTGAGTGAAAAGGCAAACCCCGAAATCATTGTCATGAACAATCAGTATACAGGGTGTTTCATAATTGAATGTCAATATCCGAGGAGACGATTCTTGGGCCCATTCTAAGAAGAAAGTTTTTTATGAACGTATGACCTAAACGTCGTAACTTTCGAGATACAGGGTGGTGAAGTTCTCAAAAATTGATAGTTTTTTATCAATATCTGTAATATCACTTCAGATATTTGATGAAATTTGCCATACATGTACTATGCATCAGTTAGTGTACCACATTCCAGTGGCGTTCGTATGGAACTTCTCATACCTATTTTTTGGCAGACATTGATGGAACGCTTCTGATTAATCTCGAAATTGAAATCATTCCCGAAATTCCCAATCATTTCTAAGCAGATTTGATCACTACAATTTTTTAAATCTGATGCACGGTTTTCGTTAAAAAAAATATAAAGCTTTTTCACTACATGATTATAGCAATATCGTTAATATGACCATATCACAATGCATAGTTTATGAACTTCGTATTCGTATTTGTTATTTTGGAATTATAAACTTCTCATTGTAGTAAAGGCTATATTAATGTTTGAGAACTTTACCACCCTGTATCTCAAAAGTTAGGACATTTTGGTCATACGTTAATATGAAACTTTCTTAGAATGGGCCCATGAATCGCCTCCCCAAATATTGACATCCAATTATGAAACACCCTGTATTCGATGGGAGGCAGTACAAAGATCTTCTTCAGCTTATGATTTGTTTAAAAAGGTAGATACTGACTGATGCGTGTTGAGACTGATGAATTTGGAATCGAAATAGCACCTGATCATTTGACAAACCTATTTGGTGATTGCCATATCGAAATATATAATGATAAAATCGTTTATTTTATATGAATTGCGTGATATTATTTGATCGATCTTATAGTATTATACATGCAAAAGACGTATGAGTAAATAGCTATGAGCGGAATGATAATTCGCAATCATCACTAGATCATTTGTATTGACACATATGTCATGCACATTGAATTTATGTACTTCCACATTGATTTTCAATCTGATGTGTTTGGCTGATATGCGAGGTCCAACAATAAGCAGCTAACCGTTCCTAGAGAAATTATCCTCATTGAGACTTACCATCGTACACGTACTCATCCCAAAGATCCTCTATAGGTTCTGAATGATTGATGATAAAACATTTAAAAATCCATACTTTCTTAAAATACTTGTATCTTCTCTTGAAAAGAATGGTTCTGAATTATTGATAATGAGAATTGAAAAAATCCATACTTTCTTGAAACACATATCTTTTTCAAATAAGAATATATTGACGTGATTCAAAAACCCACCTTTGCCACAGAGCGTTAAGAAGTTATGGATGAAAGAGTAGCTTTTGTTTTTCCCTGTATACTGATCAAGATATCAGCTTTTTCAAAGAATCAAAGTTCAAGCTAATACTCTGAAACATAAATCTACCAGTTGGTCGGAATCTCATCATAATCGTACAAGAATTAAAAAAGTTACAGGGCGATTACTAATATTTTGCGGAGGTACGCACGATGTTTTTCGAACAATATAGGAATTCCTTTTCGTGCGTACCAAGCGATAAAAAAAATCGCTGTGTAAGAGAATTTTATATCTTGTTTTCGGGCTTACTCTGGGGTGGGCCCTCAACATGTTGAAGGGGAAGGGGGAGCCCCTCCGTAGTTACGCCAATCTACTTAGTTTTTCTAATGTTCTCTGCAACTTCATTTAGCGCCCTATACGCTAAGTAACGAGCAACGATATAGAAAGTGAACCTTTTTCAGTTAGAATTGGTGTGGAAATGACGTTTCAAGGCAATTTCAAGTTGATAATGACGAAGCGCCCTATAGGCGTTACATGGAATTTGAAACGAAAACACTTATATTCACATCACGGTCCTATTCACGCCTGAAATCTATCAGATTTCGTGAATTATTCGTTGTACAACAGCTAATGACAGTTGTTGTCAACTCACTCTCCGCGCGGACCAGGGTTGCCAGTGCGATTTTTATTTCATCAGTAGATACCTTGTCAATATTCTATATCTATTTTTTGCTATACGTATTTCAAGGAAGGATATTGAAATAAACCTATGACGTCAAAACATACAAATATCACAAAATACGGTTACATATAGGTACTTATAAGATTTGAGTATATAAAAAATTGGAACGAATAGTTAAAAAATGAACAAAACATAATATTGAAACAAAACTAATGAAAAATTTAACGTGAGAAACAAACTGTTATAACAGAGGAATATAAAAAATTAAATCTGAATTCGGTAAAACTGGCAACCCTGCAGCGGACGAGAAGAGTGTTTGCGGACGGAAAGATACTGTCTGCAGACGGAAAGTACTTGCCTTCGGAAATAGTCGGTTTTTCGTTCGGACATCAGAACGTGAAATGTGATTTTTTGTAGAGGTGGACGAAACACTTATTTTATGCCAAAATTATTTCAAAATCACAAAAACAACACCCTGATTCTCATAAAGGAATAATTTACTTTTTTCTTTAAATTGCCCTATGAATACATCATTCGGAATATCTCGAATGGGGATCCAATAACTTGGTAGATTTCAATGCGAACAAAACACAAGCATGCCTTTTCTCTAGAAAAGCCGATCTCACTCTGCTCAACAAAAGCTCGCCAGGATTAACCATACCTTTGAAGACATCCATTCATTTCGATACTTGGTATTACTATCAGCACAACCTTTCTTGAGAAAATCACGTGAGATCAATTGCTAAAAGTGCATCCCAAAAACTTGGTTTTCTATTTCGGGTCAGGAGCTATTTCACTTCCAGTCAGCTGCTTATGACCTATAAGTTCAGATCCGACCTGTCCTGGAATACTGTTCCCATATTTGGAGTGCAGCACCCAAACATACCCTGAAACTGTTAGATTCTGTCCAAAAAAGGGTAATTCGTCTCGTAGGTGATGCATCTCACAAACTCACTCACTTCTCTGGAACACCGTGGAAAAGTTGGCGATCTGACTCTATTTTATAGATATTTTTATGGACGATGCTCTTCTGGAATATTAACAATTATTCCTCCCTTGGCAGTCCCCGCGAGATTAACCCGTCGAGTTGAGGCTTCGCACCCCTTCGTGGTCACTTTGGAGACCTGCAGAACATCTCTTTCTAAAGACTCGTTCAACCAACGAACAGCGAGGCTCTGGAACACATTGCCAAGGTAGGTGTTCCCCAAGGCATATAACCTCCAGAGATTTGAGAAGAATACCAATTCCTACCTTATTTCCCTTGGTTATGACGATGTTCTCTGAACATTACAGGATAACCCTCTTCGTGGGAACCAGAACATAGAAAAAATACTAATATCACACCCTGTATAGGAGAAAAAAACCCATAGACATCGACGAAAGCTTTTTATTGTCGTAATCTTTCATTTATCAAAAAAAAATAGAAAATATCATATATCGTTATCGTATACACATCATCGTTTTCTTCTTGTTCCAGCAGCCAGGATCGTGCGGAGGCGGCATCTTCCACCGGCCGTCCCCGGCCCAGATGGTGCCCAGCGGCGGAGGCAGCAGCGGGGGCAGAGGCGGCGGCGCGGGGGGCAGGGGGGGCAGGCGAGCGCACGCCGCCCCCGTGCACCGCCCCGTCGGCACGGCCTTCTCCTTGCAGCAGCTGCAGGGTGGCGGTAAGAGAGTCTAGGACGAGAGAAAAAAAAGAGAATTATTGGTGGTGGTTGTTGGTTGATGAATGGTGGTGATGGTTGTTATCGTTATATTAAGTTTAATTATGTTCGACGAAATAAACTAGTTAAAGGACGTCCTTTCATTCACTAGATGCGTTTTGATGACGATAACCTAGTTCTGTAATAGCCATTCCATGCGTTTTCTTGACTCAACAATTTCAAAAGTTATTCGCACTGGCTGCTCGATGAATTTCGATCGAACAGAACGACGGAATGGTGACAAGGGAAATCTAACAAAATGGCGGTATTGAATGTTGATTTTTGAGGTTTCTGATTTTATCACCCAACAACTAGTGAGTGAAAATAGTGAAAATTTATATTACGAAGGTATATATGGTATTTGTGATCAAATTGAACAAGAATTATGTCGCTGCGAGTAGGATTTTTCCATTGAGGATTCGTGGATTCAATAAATTATCATTTTCAATAAGGTACAATATTTCTCATCGTCGTTGAATCCATGCAAAGAATGCTATTACATGAGGAAATTCATTCATATTTTACAATCTTAAAAAGTCTGATTACCAACATGAAATTTCCGTTTCCTAAAACAATCATTGTTTCTATTATTCGGGTCAATTCCGTTTTCTTGCACAACCATTCTATTCTATTCCACAGGTTACTACTGGTGGCTCCATCAATCCACCTTTATATAAAGCGGGGTTCACAGCCAAACTTTTTACGTTTTACTTTTTATGTTTCGTATTCTGATTGGTGAAGCGAAATCTGAAATTAAACGTGAATTGAACTGAAGCAAATGTCATTTTCATCAAAAAAAAAAAGAGTTTTACGGCTTTTCTCAGTATACATATATTGGATCTTTCTTTTATTTGATTCAGACCAGGGAAGAGTCCCTCTTATCCTGATATCTATTATTAAAGAAAATGAAAACGGTATTGAAGTTTGATGCGAACAGCCCTTCTGCCCCAAATAAGTTTCAGGAATACATTCTGAGAATTGAAAAAGATCGAACGGAATAAATAAATGCCAAAAATTTGAGAATAGTAAATTTGGTTATAATGTTGATATTTTCTCTAATTTATGGACAATCTCGACCTTTTGAACTGTGATTGATCACCTGGGTCTTGTTCAAATGACACGATTGAATGGAGTTTCAAATCCCTGGCGATCTGGTTATTCCCAACATACCAAGGAGAGCCTGCCACCATTCTCGCGATTTATTTGAACGTAAATTGAACTGAAGCAAATGTCATTTTCAACAAAAAACGTCAACGTGAGTATTTACGGCTTTTCTCAGTTGCCTCGGTTTTGTCATTTGTGCTTCATCATGAAATGAAGTGAAATAATCACAACAATAATATTAATTGAATAGCGAGTATTTTCATGAGTACTGGCAGAGACGTAAATTGCTCCTTAAAGAGAAAAATCAATACTAAAAAGGCAAATATTGGGGGAGACTATCATTGAGGTATGGTGTGAAAATAGTTCAAGTATTGAGTATTTGTCTATTTTTCCATTTTCTAACATCGTACCATTTTTACACATAATGGCATCTTGCAACGCAAAAAGCTGAAAATATTCAGCTTTTTGCAACATGTCCATTCCAGATTTTGCTTCACCGATCAGAATGCGAAATGTAAAAAGCAAAACGTAAAAAGTTTGGCTGTGAACGCCACTTAATCTTTGGTGAATTCCAGTTTGACGTAACCACGCGTTCATTAATTACTGTTGTGTCAACCAAAATTGCAAACCATTCCACCGATGTGCAGATATGGTCGACGAATTTTGGTGGTTTCCGAAATGACAGCGACAACATAACCTCAAAAAACTAAAAACTAAATATTGGATTTTAAAGGTGTTTGCCATTTGCCTATAAGGAAATATATGGATGAATTAATCAAAACTATATCATGAATTTCGAGAAATTAGTGCAAACATTCAGGAAACTTGAGTACCAATAGAGAATTCTTATTAATGACTTTATCCATATCATCATAATCTAATGCAATATTTTGTATATAGGTTGTTGAGAATTTTCAACCTATCTCGTCTACTTCCCAACTCAAACAATATTTCATCATCGGAACTATCAGAAGAACTGCTAGAACTTCTGAATCTGGAGACATGGACTCCAATAACACTTTTAATACATCATTTTCCATTTTCCATTAGTTTTCGCCAATTCTGAGGCTTCTAATTGAAAACAATCTGAATCTTCATCAAATCACGAAAAAAACAGTTGTGATTGTCACATCAAATAACTGCGTTATTTTTCAACACTGATGACTTCAACAATTCGATGCATCAGAGAGTGACATCACTTCCATCATTGATGAATATGTGATGTAAAAAAGAACACGCCTTTATATTTATTTTTGTTTGCGAAGAGGATTGAAAGGTTTGTTGATCGGTGACTGAATTGCTTACTCTGATTTCTCATTATCATGAAATAAATACAGGTTGTTTGGGAGATGAGAAAATCATTGTTGAAATATCTAACAGAAAACAACTAGGTACTTCCTACGACGCTTGTGAACTGCCATCCTGAAAAAACTGTTTTTTTCGAATATTTGCCTAATTTACAGTTGCAAATGTGAATTAGTGCTAATTTACAGTTGCAGTTGTGAATTACGCCGAAATAGTAATTTATTATACAAGGGAAAAAAGTTGTATCTCCTGAACCAATAACATACTCATCAGGCATATTGGGCTAAATATCATTATTTTTGTGTTTACTATTTGTAGTTCAGAGATTTCCCATTCTTAATGAATCACCCTGTATAAAGTACATTTTCAGCACTAGTGTGAAGTGACTTCTCCGCACGCTTTCATCGAATCATCGTGCGGAAAAATAAAAATCGTCGGAAATGTAAAAATCGTGCGGGAAAGTAAGATCGTACGGAAAAGTTATTTTTCCACACGCTCGTAGGAAAAGAGATTATAGTATTTCATGGACTTCTATATCGATTCCTGATGGAGCATTCGTCATTAAAACTTGATCACCCCTTAGAGTGATGGAAGACACCGTCCAAACGACGTCAAAAGAATATTAGATACATCCTGTATAAAACGAAACCTAGTAATATTCCTTTGTTGAACTTATATTGTGAAAGCACAACGCACAATATTATGAAATATCAAATATCGATTCGGGTAATATTCAATACGACATTTCCTAGGTTCTTTTTTGTATTAGCGAACAAACAAAAAACTCCCATTGTCGTTTTTGTTTTTTTTTTTGGCACACAATGATTGATGAATTATTGATGGTTTCCACAGTTCACATGCTAGAAAGTCTATTATTGCACGTATTGACGAATATGTTTAATGGCCGATGTAAAATGTGCGCTGTTATTAATTATTCCTTGATTTCGGGCTATGAATTGCGCGTTTTCAATTATTTTCGATATTGGTTTTTGCTGCAGCGTTTATTAACACCGAGTTGATGATTCAACAAGTCTGCTTTTTTGGTGGCAAAAAACAATCATAATTCCGGATTCGGTAGGTAGGAACGTAGGGTGGAAACTGGAAAATATCGCATTCAAACGAAATTATGATGGATTCGTGAAACCAATGAAACGTATTTTTCGAATGCTCCTTCTCTGATCAGAAGAATTCAGTGAAAGCATTCGGAAGTAACATAATCAGACATTTGACACCCACAAACTTTTTTATTCTTTGGTCGATTTTTAGGTGCTAAAATCATCAATAATGCCACTGTAATTTTCGAACGGATTGAAATTTACACCTAAACATAGTTGCCATGTGTTGAAATACGATTGAGAACTTCAGAAATATTGGTTATTCAAACATCAATAAGTTCTCAATTATGTATTGGTGATATTCCTTTATTTTAATACAAAATCAATTGTCTCAAAATGTTTTCTAATGATTTGTGAAATTATATTAATTCACACTAGAGGACATTTGAAGCGGGGAATATGACAACACTGCGCACGCCTTGTGGACGTGGTCTGGTCCCTTCTCAGCATTCAGCACAATGTTGCCAAGTCTCCAACAATTACAAGGAATTTTGTTATTGAGTATCAGAAATATTTGGACATACTGGTTGCTCAAAAGAGTCAAGAATTAACAATAATATCATGGGTTGCTCCTCTTATGTTTTATTCAACGACAGGACTCTTACATCTTCTTGATAAACTTAGTTGTGTGACTTGACAACCTTGCTTCATGAGTGGGAATGGAAGATTATCTGACCAATAACGAGACAGCATAAAAGCTGACGTCACTATTTATTCGACGTATCGCCAACTAGTGGCCATGATGGACCGTTTGAAATGAGGTCCGAAATTCAACAATTTCGAATATCGCATGTTGCAAGTCCACTCGCCCATTGCTTCTCTGATCTTCCACAAAAATGTCCTTGTAAAATATCGTACCCTATATTTTATTGTTTTTTACGTATACCTCTACATTGTGCTACTCATTATCGACAATGTTATCGGAAACAAATTACGTGAAATCTATATTTCGTAGTATCGACACTATTTGTCGAAATAGTTCGCAAAACATTGACCAGCATTGACTTATGAAAATCAGTCACAGTTGCATTATAGCGACAGATAGGTAATCAAAACGTTGATGCAGTTTCGGTGTCGAACTTATAATGCAACATACCATTATTATAATTAAATACACACATTTTCAATTACCCGTTTCGGTGGTATTTCATCAAGTTCCATGCAACGTTATGATGCAACTCTGCAATACTATGTCGAAACGAAACAATCGGTTTTCGATGAGGAATGCTCATTCAACATAGGTCGGAAATCGAACTGATGATCCGGAATATTTCTTCAATGTTGATTAATTGAATGGAAAGGACATCCGCAAAATCTCAAGAATGTTCATTTCGATGGGAATTAGGAATAGGGAATATACTGCTCAGTTTGCATAGCTGTAGGTAGCCTCAGTATTCCTGTCATGTATAAGCAGAGCGGATATAGATTTTAGTACACTGA